TTCTTGAGGTAACTTGCCAGTGGTGCTGCTACTGGAAAGTGCCAGGTTCAGCCATGTAGGGCTTCTCCATGCAAAGCTTTGAGCTATGCCAGAGTCTGGAAAATTGTGTTAAAATACGTGAATTCAACAGGCTTTCCTTCCCTACTCATGAATAGTGTGTTCAAAGTTTTAAAACACAGAGAATCTTTTTTTTTTTTTTTCAAAATAATTTAAGAATAATGATTAGTATTTAAAGGATTAGTATGTTTTATCATGTTTTAATGATTAAATGAAATGTTGAACCACTAACTTTCAAAAATGGAGGATGAGCACCAAATACATCTGCGAGAGGCAGCAAATAGTGAGGTCAGTAATATTAACCCTCTTCGGGTGCCTTGGCAATTACCTTGATTCCCCATCTTTCTCCATCAGTCACAAGAAAGAAGTCACTGAAGCAATAGTCTCTTTGCTTCTCAGAGCCTCCTCCTCTACCATACAGTCTGGCTTGCTGTTCTGGATACGTGGACAAGCTAATCATCTGGCTTTAGAATCATAACTGTGGTGGGCTCAGCTTTTGTGCTGGACAGGAGGTCTCTACCTGAGCTCCCCCCCCAGTGAGACAAGCACAGCTTTGTGCAGTTTCTGCTGCCACATCTGGACATTGGGCAAGCCCAGCTCAGCAACTCCTGCCATCTTCCTGGCCAGCTCAGGGAAGGCTCAGCAGCGTGTGAGTTTCTACACAGAGTCTCTGTGGGAAGAAAGGCACCTCCAAAACAGGACCTGTTCTCCACCAACATGCCAACTTTTAAAAAACTTCAGAAGGCAGAAAAAGTCTGTATTTTAGATAACCTGTTAACAACTCTCCTATGGCAGAGAAGCAGGCAATGGTGCTCCATTATTTTCATTTGCTCCTGTCCCTCTGACGTCCCCAGGGAGGTCAGGGCCATTCTTTGTTCCCACCACCTGCAAGCACACACTGGTGAATGCCAGGTCAGAATGGTGTCAGGCGTCTACACATGGGAGATTGCCTTTTTTTCCAAGTAAAAAGAACGTTTTATTTTTGTCAAATTAAATGTAATTCCTAACTTTACCAGATTTACTTCGCTTAGTTTTTCTGTTTCTCATTTCAAGCACCATACATCTGTGTGGGGCCCTATTTCAAAGGGACAATACACACTCCTCCTAGAGTAGCTGCTCCTTGAAGTTATTATTAGAAGTCCTATTATTAGAAAGTATTTTGCTCTCTGTTAGTCATTTAAAGAGAAAGTGAAGTCTACCCAATTATTTTTTTTTTAGAAATGCCTTTTTTGTCCCTTTCAGAAAGCTCACCAAATCACTATTTATATCTACATTTTAATTCTTCTAACAATACAAAGTGAAGACACTAATAAAAGTTCCTTATCTACAAATACATTTTAACATAGGGCTATTTCAAATGCAGTGTTCTGGGCTTATAAATGTATGCCTATGAAAAGAAGTTAAATAATTATTAAATAAGCTGTTGAATTGCTGATCTCTGGTTTCCCTAAATAATGATTTATTCCTTTGCTTTAATTAGGGCTTTCATTGGCATATGCTACTTTATTGTTTCATATTGAAATGAATATTAGAGCCAAGAAGGCTCAGGCCCCACTCTGATTCATAATTTAGCATGAGTTATCAACATCAGTAGTCAGATGAAGCACTATTTGTACAAATAAGCATTTCAGGACTAAACTAAATAAAATTGCTGTTCTGCCAGTACTGGATTCTCAGACACTGAATGAATAAACTCTTTGCTTCTCATATGCAAATATTCTCTAAGTGTGATCTGATAGAGAGATTTTCTTAAATGTAGATTTTTCAATGTCCAATATTATTGAGATATTCTGATGAATATTATTGGCTGTATATGACATTTAACACACAACAACCTAATTAATCATTTAGGGCATGTAGGTAAATTGTGGTGTTTATAATACAAGGATGCATTGCAAAGTTATTTCATACATGGGAGATTTTCAAAGTCCCGCATGATGACATTGATATAGTGCTACTACTCTGTTATAATCTTTGTATATTATTTAAGTGTAACAAATACTTCATTCATTGCCTGCCCTAAACTTTGCATTTGGTGACATTCTTGCTGCTGTGTTAATATCGGGTCTATTAAGCTGGACCTCATGGTCCATTACCCTTTCTTTAGGCCTGACCCCATGAAGTTTAAGGGTCTTGAGCACAGTGTGAAAAAGCAAAGGGTTTCACTCTCACCCAAGGAGCTCATTAGGACTTTATAGAAACACAAAAAATACTCACACAGTACCAACATTTGCACTGAGGGGTACTCACCAGACAAACAGCCTGGTGTCAGGAGGTGTTCATTGTTCTCTTTTTCCAGGCCTGCACACCAATTTAGCAGGCTAACTAAAGGGATCGCTCATTTGTAATCCCCCATTTCAGCCTTTGTAGCAGAGATTCATTTGCCAGCATCTTTTAACTTTGCTTCCTTGAAATTCCTGTTTCACTTAGGACAGTGTAGACAAAATGAACTGAAATACACTGACTAGGATTACATTTGCCAATTGCTATAGCGGGGTTTGGAGGCTGTCTTTGTTTGCTGCCTCAAGGCAAGTAAACAGTCACTCACAGTGCCTTTTAAACAGACCTTTCTTGCAAATCACTTACTGACCAAGGGCCAGGTTCTGCTCTGTTTACCTGCTGTGAATAATGCTCCTTTTCTCCTGGATTGCAGCTGAGTTACTGAAGGAGTAGGGCACTATAAAAGCCGGGAGGGCTGTCCATAACCAAGACAAGAATAAAGAACTGCTCTTCTGTCATTAACAAAACAAGTTTACTCTTCTTGGGCCATAGTCCATCTGTCTACCTGTCTCCACAGAGTGTCAGCATCTTTGGCAAACATCCTGTGTGCTGTTAGTGGACGATAACTATGATATCACAGTTGACTACAGCTTTGGGTTCAGTATAAAACATCTCCCTATAGAAGACATGGGATGATTAAGGCTTTTACAGTGAGCTTCTAAGCACACTGATGTAGCTAGTGTCTCAACCATATTTTAAACTGGGCTTTTTAACTGGTGTGGGATTTTTTTGTTTTAGTTCTTGGGTTTAGTTTTGGTTTGTTTTTTTTTTTATTTAAGACTCTGACATGAAAACCCAAACTCCTATTTTTTAAATCATTTTGCTTTCTTTGAAAGCTGGTGCTCGTTGCCTTGGGCAGCAGCAGGCAGCTTGCCAGGCAGCAGTCTTCGGTACCATTTTCAGAACTGCCACACTTCCTGTAAATACAGTAACAACAGATTTGCAAACCAAAGGGACACACTTTACATCAAACCCTAAGGGATTTTTATTTTCCAGGGAAACAGGAAAACTGTATAAATAGCATTGCAGGGCAAAGATTCCTTTTAATATTACCCAATAAGATATCTCTTCAACAGGAGAACCTATTTAGATTCTTGGTCATTTCCCACCTCCCACTGTGCAAAGTTTTGCTCTGAGAAAGGGCAACTGACCTTAAAACTACAGCTTTGGGTTTGGCCAGGTGTGGGAAGCTGAAGTAAGAATATTGTTGTTTGCACATAAAAGGCATCTAGGTGTGGTATTCCTCTCATTCCCTTATGTTGATATACATTATGCTATAAAATCAGTGGAGAAACACATGACAAGTATTTGTTATTCTGTTTTAGTGCCACAGCAACACAAAAGTAGCACTGCATGACACCTGCGTATTTTGTTAGTCAACATGGAGTTTTTCTACTTTATAAAAGTACTGTGAAAATCAATTTGGTGCTACCAGCGGATACAATGTAAAATAAATACAAACAAAATAGTCTGCTAAGGAAATGTCATATCCTTTCAGACTCACCCAAATGGTTCTGAGTCAGTGGCACAGTGCAGGAATGCTGTACATTTGCTGACAATTAAGCTCATAGTCAATGGATCCTGCCTGGCAAATCAGGTGTGATTTATTCATCATTACTGCCTAACACAGAAAAGCCTGTGTCCTGCTTGTTTGAGAGCCATTACAAAACAGAATTCAGTGATTTCCACACCTGGTTTGGTTACTCTGACATCTCTGTATAATTGCCTCCACTCATAAGCTTACAACTCTTGGAGCTCCTTAGCTCCAGCCCCCAACTGTTTCATCTCAGTTTACCTTTAACTAAGCCAAATAGTTTTTGAAAAGAATTAAAGGGGGGAGGCCAATGGAAAATTCTGGACCTCATTCAAAGACAATTAAAAGGATGAAGGAAGATGCTGAGAATGATGCAACTGGGTGAGGTAAAAAAGGGAAGGAACCACTGGTTATGTGGGTCAGATGCAGTATGAATGGGGAATTTGGAATAGAACAGACACCTACAACTTCACAGCACCTTTCCACAAGTGAGAGGGCTAATGGACAAAGCATGAAACCAGTTAACAGCAACTTCAGCATACCCTCACACGGCAGCATGTCCAAATTGGTAAAATGGTCTATGTGAAGACTCATACTGTCTTCATTGCAAAGTCTGGGAGTTTATCCTAAAACTTTTCACAGCCAATTAAATTTATCTGATACTGCTGATTTTTGGATTTAGGAAGATGCAGAGCCACTTAAAAAAAATATCTATTTTGGCATCTCTGCTTTGGGGGTGGAGAGAAAGAGGGCATGGAGGGCAATGGCATTTAAACAAATACTGTCATTTCTGCAGTGAATGTCTGATTGTGGCCTAGGATTTTGGCCTTTGGCCTCAAAATATATTTAATCTGAGACATGGTTGAGACACTGTAAACAGGAAGGCTCCCGAAGCTACCACATCAATAATCTGGGATTTTCACTTTGTTTTCTCAGAAGCAGCGCAAACAAACAAATGCAGAAACTGGTCTTCCAGCTGCTGTTGTTTCTAATTACAATGCAGAGGAAAAGTTAAGTCAGCAGTTAATTGAACTGAGCCCACTAAAAGTCATTGCTTTTTAACAGTAAAATTATATGGCTTGAAGGCTCTTTAGATAAATTGTAGCATAAAAATCACCAGGAGGTCATCGACTATTTTAGTGTTTCCTGTATGGATTTATTGGCACTCTTAAACAGGCAGAGGCTGTGTGTGACATTATTCTTCCAACATTTTTCAGGATAACATTTTTATATTAGACGAAATAGTTACTTGGAATAAGCTGCATCTTTGCTGTGGATTCCATTGGGTTCACCAGAATTTCACTTCCAGGCGCCTAGGGACAAGTCCTTGGTGAGACTGGAGAAGCTAAACTGAGTGTTTGCTGCACACCCACCACAGATGCAGGAAATAAGGTACTAAAATCTTACACATGGCATGGGACCCTCACGGCTGTGTTTCAAAGGTCCATACTCTATCTGACAGCACTGCTCAACTTCATAGCTTTCTTCAGACTTATCTGAAATAGAAATAGAGATCACAATAGAAATGGAGGTTTCTAAGTACTATCAGTGAATATTCGTAATGTACCTATGACTAGATAAAACTCATACTGATTTTTATATCTGCATATACAGATCTTTACACAGTGGACCATGAATAGATAATCTCCTGACTTCCCAATTCTATTACCACTCAAATATATATAAATAATATAGAAAGTATAATATAATAATAATTAGGATAACTAATAGGACAACTAGAATGGGTGTAAAATAGATGCTTTCCTGTTTACCTTTATAAAAAGTAAAACAGATGTACAGCACCTATACATCACACATGAAATTCAATAGAACCCTTGTACAATGTTATGATCCTGTAAATGAAAAGGAGTAGTAGGCCATCTAAAGTGGTATCAAATGGCAAAAGAAAAAAAAATCATAAAGGTTGGTTTAGCTAAGAACAAAGAAAAGGGTGACTGCATGAGATTTGAAAAGAAGGAGAGATTTATTGTATAAGGTACAAAGGTTGGGCAGGGGTCCAATAAGGGCAGATGATGCTAGGATATTACAAATACATCTTCTAGCAGAGTTATGAAACTATACTAAAGTACAGCTATAGGCTTGATATGTAGGAAAAAACACAGAGGTAACTGGATTCTTGACTCAAAAGAGAGTAACATTTTCATAAGTTAGACACAGTAGTAACAGAAAAAACCCCATGTTGTCATCAGCTGATAAAATATTGCCTGTAAGCATCAAAAGAGAAGATCCTGTAGTGGTGACCAACAATATTATATTTCATGTAGCTTGAGAATAAAAAATGGCCCTCCTGTTGAGGCTAGCATGAAGACAGTCAGAAAACCACATAGCTATAAACCCTTAATTTCATGATCACTTCTGACCTTTTGAAATTGCATTCCTAACTGGAATAATAACCTGGGACATTGTAATTTCGTACAAAGGGAAATTTCAGGGAAGTGTTGCCCCTGAAACGTGTAGATGTGGTATTTTCAAATGAGCATTTTCCAACCAAAACCATTTTGTCAGCAAGTGTTTGACTAGCTGTAATGACTTTAATAATGAAAAATTAATGGTTCTTGCGTGGTACCACTGAGATGTTATTCATTTTTGTGCAAAGTAAAAAAATAGGACATTTAAATTACTTGAGCACATGGGGAAGAAAGAGGAAGTAATTGTATGCAAGGGAGTAGGTGCTATGCAAATACCTGGATAGATTACAATCTACCTTAACTGAGTAATTGATCACATCCTTTTGACTTCTATATCAATGAGCTGAGAAGAGGGGTTAAACAGGGGTTACTGGGTGCAGTTATGTGCTTCTAGATGGCTAATGCAGAATCAAAGTTTATGTACATAGGACAGACAGACTGACAAACAGTGATAGGTTAACTAACACATGGTAAACATGTCAGAGGGCCATTCCCTGGAAATTACATCCTTTTGTAACATTAGGGTATCTCCTAAATAATTTCTCCCTGTTGGCCCAGTGTCTCAGTTAACCAATCTCTTCCATGATGCATGCTACATAGGTATAACTTGTCATATTAAAAACAACCCAAACAAACCAAATGGTTTCAGTAATTATTTAGAAAGATAACTGGGAAACATATGAATAGATATGAGCTAGTCAGTGTGGATACATCAAAAGAAAATTGTTTAAGAAATGTGATTAACTTCTTAATGGGAAAGACAATGAAAAATGACAGGTGTGAAGCAGGAGACGCCCAAAATTGACTACAATGAGGCTTTTTGATTCAGCATCACATAAAAGATTGATATTTAACATCATCAAATGCAGTACTGATGGTGACATTTTACACAGCAGAAAAATGGCTTCTTAAATGGAATAAGAGAGCTGTATTAAATGGATGTAAATTAAGGGATGTCATGAGAACTGTAATTAGGTAGAGCATTTCTTTCCAGTAATATATAAACACCCTGTAATGTGCATTTTGCACAGCAGGAAAAAATGCTAAGGTTGAATTTTAGTGAAGAGAAGGAAAATGGATGTTTGAAAGTATTGGAAAAGATAAGATATTTTAAAGTAATGAATCTTATACACACTTTATTATAAAAACCTATTTTTGCATTTCTGTGAAAATAATCAGAAAAAGGTTTTTAGAATAATAACAGAAATTCAAATTCATTTCCCAAATTTTTGCAAGTGTCAAGAGATGTAATAGCTGCTTTGCTGTTTGCTTGGAAAGTAAAATATAAATTAGTATCTACAGATTAGTGTGCTAATTTGGCCTCACATTAAAAGTAGACAGGTGTAGAATGCAAAAGACACTGAGCATGGGTAATAACAAAGCATATATCACATCTAAGAAGCTTCTACAGAAACAATTCTTTCCATGCCAATCTGTAAGGTATGAAAAGAAGAAAAGGATTTCTTCATGCAATGCTGTATATTCACTGCAGCAGTTTATACATACAGCCTTGCACCCCAGGATACTCTGAATCTCACCAATCTTAAAATATTTAAGGTATAACTCTAATCTTAAGTGAAAGCTTCACAGTATTAACACATGCTTGAAGTCACATTCCATGTCAGGAAAAGCCACCAGTATGCCAATGAACACTAGTCTAGTTTGAAAAGAAGTATTCCTAAAATAGATAATGCTTTTTTCACTAATTTTGACTTACAGATTTTTTAAGTGAAATGCTCAAATTGAGTAAGATCCAAAACAAAAGTGAGACATTAAGAAGTGCTGGTTCCAATACCGGCCCCTGAGGAACACCGCTCATCACTGGTATCCACATACGGTTTCAACCAGATCCTTTTCAGCCATTAACATCTAAAGTATGATTACAGGCTCCTGCATCTATGGCATTGCCAGCTTTTGGACAACTACAAAACCTGTATTTTCAACAGTTAAATGCCCCACAGGCTCCGAGTTCTCCTATGACCAATGGAAGTCAGTCACATTTCAATGCAGAGGTTGTCACTCCAGTGTCCATCTCATGCCCAAGCCTTCACTGGATCAATTCCACAGCAGAAGATGAAGACTCTTCCCCAGGTCACAGAGTGGGGTTCTGAATGCCTTTTCTCCTGCTCCACAGATCTGCTAGTCCTCACTGTGCTCAGCTTAAGTGCCATAGCCCATGATATACGAAATAAATAACAGTATTTTGGTCCAAAAAAAGCTACCTGCAAAAATGGGAGGTTATAATCTACCCAGAAGATGTGTAAATGCAGAAGGACTTGATGTTTTGTGGATCCTAGTCTTATCCCAGTATAAAACCCTGTAAGAAAGGGCTGTAAGGTTCTCCAGAAAGATCTAGGAATATTCTCCTTCACACCACCTTCTCTCAGCTTAGGCAGCTGTTTCTCGATGTTCCAATATACTTCATAAAGACTATTACATAGAAAATTCCCAGTTACAACATTATTAAAAGTTTGTTTCATGTTGCAGAGTAGTTTACCCAGGCCTGTAATCAGGAACTTTGTTCTGAATACTAAAATCAGCTCCTAGGATAATTCAGGCTGGAAAGACCTCAGGAGGTCTTTAGTCCAGTGTCTTGCTCAAAGCAGAGTCATTTCTGAGATCAGACCAGGCTGCTCAGTGCTCTACCCAGCTGGGTCTTGAAAACCTCCAGCGACAGACTGCACAGTCTTTCTGGGCAGCCTCTTCCACTGCCTGACCCTCCTCATGGGAAAAATGTTTTTCCTTCTACCCAGTCAGAATTCCTCTTGTTTCAGTTTATGCCTGTGGTCTCTTGTCTCTTTCCATGCTCTGCCGGACTCCACCTTCTTGCTAACTTCCCCATAGATACTGGGGGCTGCTGTTGGTTGCACCCTGAAGCTGTTTGTTTCAGGCTTATCAAACCCAGTTTGGGGGCCGCTGCTGAACTCACTCCAATTTGTCAATCTCTTTCTTGTATTTGTGGGCTCAAAACCGGATGCAGTATCTTGATGTAGTCTCATGAGTGCTGGGAAATAGGAAATGATCCCTTCCCACAGTCCAAAGGCTGCGTCCGTGTTCATACATGATGCAGCTAGCTGTCCTTGCTGCCAGGGCACACAGCTGCCTACCAGGCCCCCAGGGTGGGCTGTTCCTCCAGAGCTGCTCCCCAGCCTGGGCTGCTGCAGGGGTGCTTTCCTCCTGGGGACAGCACTTTGCATTTGTCCTTGGTGAATCTCACAAGGCCCTCTCAGTTCTTGTAGTTCCCCGGCTTGTCCTTTTTGGGGATGGGTGCAACATTTGGCTTTCTCCAGTTGTTTGGGACCTCTAAGTATGTAGGACCCTTCAAAGACGATAGATAATAGAGAATCATGTTTTATACATGAGGACATGGTTAAATACAATTTGCTCCTATTTGTTACAGGGAAAAAAAAAAAAGATGAAGGAATTTTAACAATGCTAAAGAGACATCGTTTTATTCAGAGACCTCAAATGCAGTGGGTGAACTCTTGGTTCTCTGGAAGTCTCTGGCAAAGCTCCTGCTGCATCCAGAGGGAAATGTAATGGCATTTATAGTGCAGTTAGAAATTGGATTCCCTTGCTCTGAAGCTGTATTTGTCAAAGTAATTGAAAGCAACTCTTATTTTTTTAAATCCACTTGTGTTTGTTGTAAGCATGACTCAAAGCCCCCCAACAGTGGAAGAACTATAATTTTTTAGTGCACATTAGATTAGATATATAGTACGAAAAATTCTGTAATTAATTAACCTTGTTAAATAAAAGGAAAAATACAAGATCTGCAGGGAGCTTCTAGCTGCAAAGCTGTGAGGGTTAGTACTGGTGTGCTGTGCTCTATGTATCTCTGCTATTTTGCATTATTTTAATTACAAGAACAGAGGAAAATTTCAGAACAGATTAAATTGATGCAATGGGTCATTTTTGCTAATTAATCTTAGGAACTATGCAGATTTTATTGCTGCGGGAACGCGCGGGCTAAGTGTATTTATTTTACTTTGTCTAAATCTAAAAGTTATTTTATCTGAAATTGTCTTTTTACCTGACAATCAAAGAAACTGTGGGTTCCTGTAGGGAGTAAGTCAGGAAGCAGTTTTTAACAACAACAAATTGAAACGTTTACACAAGGAAGTGTTGCTTTTATAAGTGATGGGAAACTTCAAATTTGATTACAAGCAACCTTTGGCTTCCTATCTGTTCAACAATAGGCCATGTTGTTAAGGGCAATTTCCATGCACAGCATGTGGGTCCCATTTTTTCATCCTTAGACATGGTTGTTTACTGTTCAGAACTGTTTATGCATTTTAATCAGGCTTATTCAGCAGCCCTTAATAAATCACCACTAAGTGAATGTACCAAAACAAGAACTATTATACGGGATTTGTTCCCCTTCTGCAGTATTTGCTGCCCTCAGGTTCCACTGGATATAAAAATAAAGAGTAAATGGGTAATTGTGTCAAAAGAATAATTATGAGGCATATGATTTTAATGCCTTTTGCTGAGCTGTTGCCTCCAGCAACTTCCGCTAGCTACAGGAGCCTGACTTTAAATTCAGCCCGGGCCAGAATGACTTAACAATTGGAACCTGCCTTCAGCTCATGGCACTGGAAGGCTTTTTGATGGGACGAAGCTGACAGCCCAGTTCCTCCCTGGCAGACGTTCACATGAGACAAGGCTGAAGTCATATAGATAAGCGCTTAAGTATTCAGGTATCTAGGTTTCTGGAAACAACGGCTGAGAGTACTGTTGGGAAGCAATTGGTACACAGAAGTAAATACATCTTTCTGGCTATTCATATCAGGAACAACCAGAAAAATATTTTTTTTCTATAGTCTGGTGAACAAAAGAATTTGAGGGGAATTTTGTAAGTCCTAATGGTTTTACGTGATAGCTCTAGTTCATAAATAGAATTTCCAGAAATGGAGTTATTTAATTTTCAGCAAAGGAGTATTTAAACTTGAAAGATTTTTCTAATCCTGCTTTTACTGGATTTTACTGGATTACCACCCCTCCTGTGAAAAACATGGGAATTTTACAGACCTACAGATAAATGCAGGAAAGATGTGACACACATGGCATGGTGCTCTACACACGTCAAAGAGTTACTTCTGGGAAAAACAAAGTAAAACACAACAACAAAAAAGACTTGCATCATGTGGGGCAGACTTTCCTAGAAACTACTACTGAAACACAAAATACCATTTTGGAGATTATTTAGCAGCATCCTTGCCTCAGCCTGTAATTTTGCCCCACTGAAGCCACTAGGAGAAATTATGGTGCATAGATTTGAGTGCTATTCTCTTTTGCTTGTAGAAATCCTGCTCTCCTTTGGCTCAGTGTGCTTGGTCAGGCTGCCCAGTCCCTATATTGCTCGTAGCAATAAAAGCTTTGTCCAGCAGTCAGCAGCCATGTAAGATTCCTACCTACTCTCTTGCTGGACCATAACCTTTACTGCAGCTTCACAAACCTTTTCTTCTCTCCCCCAACCCCATAAATTGCTGGTGAAGTATTTATGCTTGTTTCCTAAGAGACAGTATATTTGGGGGTTTTGCTTCAATCTGTTACTGTTTACCACAATAATGAAAGGTTCCTTTCTAGGCAGAAAAAATTGCCACAACACAGCAAAACTGATAAATAGTGAGATTTCCTTTAGGAAATTATAAGGCCCGGTTCTCCAACAGCCTGATGCTCAGCTGTGATGACGGTATGTAACCTTTCAGCTAGCTGGATCAGGTAAGCTTGAGCCTTTCAAGAATACTACTGAAATACTACTATTTTCTTTGGCAACACCTTGGCTAGACTTACACAAAAGATGATGCCAGAATTGTGTAGGCAAAGTGCTCAATTTCTAGTATCAAACTGGCAATTACACTGTCCTTCCTTTGAAAATAGATTACAGTCATTCCACCTGCAGATAGAGAAAAGATATTGTCATTGGATAAATGAATGGCTATATTCAACAAAAACGCTGCTTTATTTCTTTGTTATCAAGGAAAATGTGGCCAAACATCTGTTTCTTGTGCACCATTTGCAAAGTATGTCCAGCTCGGACCACACTGTCCTCTTTGCTCTGAATTTAGATATTTTTGTTATTCTGGTAACAGTTTTCCTTCTTTTGGTTAAAAAAACACCCCAAAATTCATAAAAATCTCCATGATGTTATGATGATGTGCAGTGAGAAGAAACTGCCACAGTGAAACCAGTCCAGTTTCTATTCATTGTTACCTGAGTATTGTAAATGTTGGGTTGAGACCTAGCTGTCAGGATTTTACTTGTTTCACAACTGTAGAAGCTATTTGTGTTTTTCTTTGCCTTGAAATTTCATTATAGTACCTAACACTTCAGTTAGGAAGTGCCAGAGTCAGCCAAGCCAGCCATTTGGGACCTAAACAAATTGTGAACCTTCACCTCTTGAGGGTAAAAGGCTTCTGAATGCAATAACCCACATCACGTGCTCCCCTGAGTCACATTACAAAGTTTAAAATAAATTAATTATGTCAACAAATGGGCAAATAGTCTCTTTTTCATACACATCCCTCCGCTTGATTCTCCAGTATTTTTTGAGAAATGATTATTTCTGGTGTTTAAGGAAGAATGCTTAAGAAACTAACTGATGTTGTTCCTTTCAAAAGAAGCATGAAGAGAGGATGTAGCCTCTTACAGCATGATGCTGACTGATGTATCTTTTAATAGCATTAGCTGCATGTGTCTTATTGTAGGGCCCTTCTATGTATAGTAAGGAAACTAGTATACTAGGGAAAAGACTCCCCATCTCTCCCAGTTATTTTGAGACAGACTCACCTGTGCTTGACCAGAGCAGCGGCATGCTGTACTCTCTGAAGACACTAAGGCTTCTGTAACTGTGGCAGCAGCTGTAATAGGGAACAGTGGGAAGATGGACCATGTGAGAGACTGTATAGAAGAAGCCTCCTGGAAAGGGAGGGTAAATAAAGAAAAACTGTAACCCTCTCACCTTCTTCAAACTACTTACTAATTATAAACTGCTAGAAAAAAAATTAATAATTTAGCCTTTTGCTAATAATACATCCCGAAACCACGATCTGTGAGAGGATTACAGTGCTCTGACCATAGAAATAGCTGGTGTTTTTGAGCACTACATGGATTTCATCTGGATAATCCAATATTGAAAAACATCCCTTAAAACAATTACACAAGTTTCTAACACCATAACTTTCCAAGAGGATAAAGGTACACAACAGAAGTTGTGTGAAATACCCGACCTTGTTCTGGTCTTTATATCACCAGATGCCTGAAGTATCAACACTGCTGTAAAGCATACCAAAGCGTAGAAGATGATGCTGGATAGACTATTGGATAAGCTCTGTATTTCACATCCACATAGTTGTAAATATTATTTATTCTTAGGAATATAAGTCATATTCTGAGAAATCACTGTATATTTTATATACTACCTTCTGATTCCTTTGGATCAGCATGGGAGCATAGATCCTGCTACTGTTTAATTAAATGTGAACTACAAGTTCCATTATATAAACTTTCACATGCTCTGCTTTATTCCTGATATGTCACAGAGGTGAAAAAGATTCCAAACTATGAAAATGAAATTTCCAAGTAAAATCCTGTAGGACCAAAGTTTTCCATGTGTGGTTTCTGCAGGGAGAAGCGTAGTTTTAAAAGCCTGAGTCACATCCATATAGTTAGCTTTCAACATGTGTTAAAATCATGCACAAAATCCAGGGTGCATGCTGCAGTAAGATTTTGTGCACATCTGCAACATAATTTGTCAGGGAATCAGTTTCTTTTCACACTTCAACATTTCACTTCTATGTATTTCTTTTTTTTTCAACCTGCCGAGATCGAATGCCAAGCCAGATTTGACGGAAATGACTTCAGTCATTTGAAACTGAGCTCTTGAAGCTTTTTATGGAACTGAATTGAAAGAATGCTAATTCCATCTGTGTTTGGTGAGAATGGTGGTGATTCCTAAGCACAGCAGAGTTTCCTTGTGAATGGTTCAGTCGAGAGTGCTGTGAAATGCTTTAGCTAAATCTAGGCTTCTCAAAAGCCTGACTAACCTGGCAAAGTTTATATTGCTTTCAGGATGTCAGGACAGTGAAAAAAACCCCACCAGGAGGTAGGAAGAGAAGTAAGTGTCACGACAAACTGCCTCCTCAGAAATGAAAATGGCAACAACAGGGTGCCCCAAATCTTCTAATGTTGTAGGCTGAATGCCAGCCTTCTTCCTCCCTCATCAGGCAGCTGTGGCTGGCAAGATCTGGGAGGCTTGCAAGTGGCTTCTATGGGCAGTTACAGCGAAAGCCCATACCCAACACAAGCCCACCCAGGCTCTCCTTGATGCTGCCCTTTGCTGGTGCAAGCAGAGCAAGACAGCAGCATAGTTTCCTGCTCTGTTTTCTGAACACTACCTATGCCTCCCAATGGACAGAAAACATTTCCAAACTAAATGCAGGAAAGAGAGACCTGTGGCAGGACCTGAACCCAGCCAGAGTGCACAAATTCTCTCCTTCCACACGCTGCCCTTTCCTGGAAAGAGGTATCAAGGGCTTCCACAGGCTGCCTGTGGGAGACCCAATCATAAAGTGGTGTGGGTAATGCTCATCCAGCAAAAATGTGCACAGCGCAAGTCACCGCAACATTTCTTGGTGTAAGCTATGCTTAAGAAGTCAGCTTATAACAGGTTCATGCTGTGCATCATGCAGGTGCCAATACTTTTCATTTGAATTGTGTCCTAAGCTTCATGGTGCATAAAGCAGCAGGTGAAAGCCAGAATAGTTTGGGAAAGGTACACGAACACAGAAATAAACTTGCAGCCAAAACTAAAATCCCTCCTGCAGAGCTGGAGCTTTGCTCCTGGCTTGCCAAGTACCTGTGCTACTTCTGTCACTGCTATTCTGTGGTGGATCTGGGTTGGAGATAACCAGAGATGTTTGTAACCAGGTTAGCACAACCTGACTGTGTGTTTCTCTCTCAGGCCAGGACATCCAGAGTCCCTATATATGATCATCACCAAAGTGTCAAGGGAGTGATTTTTGAGTAGGGAGGGAAATTTAGAGGAAAATCTACCTAAAAGTCTACAGCAGCTCTGCAGTGATGAACATCACCCAGTCTGGGCTTGCCAAGCTTGGTATCATTTTGAAGAATACATTTTTTCAGACTGCTATATACCATGCTCAGATTAGACAAAATGGTGTGGACACCTCTCTTCAAGAGTGTGGAAAATGAATTTAAATTAGAAAATGGCAGATACTGATGGTATATCAGAAGTGCATTTTGGTGCCCAAGTCCAGAGCATTTTTTGCTGGAGAGCTCTAGGATCAGTCTCAAGAAGTGCACGTACACTCTGATAGGATCCATGTATTATTCCTTTGGATAGAATGTACCAATCCAAAGCTTACAAACAGAAAACTAGAGAGAGGATGGATGACATTATTTTTGATGGAAAAGCAAAGTTGGAAATAATTAATGAGTTCAAACAGATTTTAAGGTCCATTCCAACCCTAACTATTCTATGATTCTATGTTTCTAAAGTGTCATACACAGAATACAGTAAAATTATGACTGGGTAAAGCTGTCTTTAACATGCCTAAGCAAAGAGAGCATCAGAAAAGACCTGTGTTCAATTACTTCATCTCCGTGTCCTGCAAGCTTGCATCTGTTTCAGTATCAAGATCCTTGTTCTTGGCTATATGGAATAAAATTACAGTAATAGTTTGAGTACCTCATGCTGCCAAAGAGGAACATTGGAAGCATGGAGGCAGACGGCTCATGCCATGTGAGATCTTCACACCCAGAAATGGCAGGTGTGTTTTTGCATTATCTGATTTTAATAGAATGTAAAGAGCATTTAAATGACTAATTTTTCTTCTTAAATCAATTTTAGGCATTTTACCCATGCTGATTGGAGATGCCTTTGGGAAAACTTGTGGACAGAAACAGCACAATGTGAATTTGCCCCAGGCTAAGTAGGATTTTTCCCCTATTTACATGTTCCTTTTGAATTACAAAGCTTTTTAGCTGCTGCTATTACAAGGTCCTGGAAAATACATCTTCTCCTCGGTTACCTATGCTCCTAGTTTCCAACCCAGCCAATGCAGTAAAATAAAGGAGCCACCCCATTATCCTTTGGATACCTTGAGTAATTTTATAGAATCATAGAACTGTTTAGGTTGGAAAAGGCCTTTAAAACGGAGTCTAGCCATTAACCAAAACTACCAAGTCCACAACTGAACCATGTCCCTAAGCGCCACATCTACATGTGTTTTAAGTACTTCCAGGGATGGTGGATAGGATGGCAGCCTTTTCCCATGCTTGACAACCCTTTTCAAGAAGAACTATTTTCCTAATATCCAGTCTAAACCTCCCCTGGTGCAACTTGAGGCTGTTACCTCAAGTCCTATTGCTTGTTACTTGGGAGAAGAGACTGACAGCTACCTTGATACAACCTTCTGTCAGGTAGCTGTAGAGTGATAAGGTCCCCCCTGTGCCTCCTTTTCTGCAGACTGAAAAACCCCAGTTCTCTCAGTCGTTCCTCATAAGACTTGAGCTCCAGACCATTCACCAACTTCATTGCCTTTCTTTGGACACACTCCAGCACTTCAGTGTCTTCCTTGTCTTAGCCCATTTATCCAGCCTGTCCAGACCCCACTGTCCTTCCTTCCTTTCTACCCTGAAACAGACCAACACTCCCACCCAACTTTGCCTCATCTGCAAACTGACTGAAAGTGCACTCCCCTCAACCAGATCATTGATAAAGATATTAAACAGAGCTGGTGCCAACACTGAATACTGGAGAACACCACTTGTGACCCATCGCCAACTGGATTTAACTCCATTCACCACCACACTTTGGACCCAGCCATCCAGCCACTTTTTTACCCAGCAGAGTACAGCTGTTCAAGCCATGAGCAGACAGTTTCTCCAGGATAATGCTGTGGGAAATGGTGTCAAAGTCTACTAAAATCTAGGTAGACAACATCCATAGTCTTTCCCTCATCCAGTATGTGGGTCACCTTGTCATAGAAGGAGATGTTAGTCAAGCAGGACCTGCCATTCATAAACCCATGCTGACTGGGCCTGATCACCTGGGTGTCTTGTACATGCTGGGTGATAGCACTCAAGAGGATCTGCCCTATAACCTCCCACAGCACTGAGGTAAGGCTTACAGGCCTGTAGGTCCATGGATCCTCCTTCCAGCCCTTCTTGAGGAAGGGAGTTACATTTGCAACTTCCTGTCAACTGGACCTCCCTGGTTAGCCAGGACTGCTGACAAACGATGGAAAATGGGTTGGTGAGCCACGAGCTCCCTCGATACCCATTGGTGAATCCCACCCAGCCCCACAGACTCGTATGTGTCTTAGTGGTGTAGCAGGCCACTGACCATTTCCCCTTGGATTATAGGGGCTTCATTCAGCTTCCAGTCCCTGTCTTCCAGCTCAGGGGGCTGAGTACCTCAGGAACAAATGTTTTTACCATTACAGACTGAGGCAAAGAAGGCATTAAGTACCTGAGACTTTTCCTCAGCCTTTGATACTCTTTCCCCCACATCCAATGAAGGATGAAGATTCTCCTTAGCCCTCCTTTTGCTGCTAATGTATTTATAGAAACATGCTTTAGCATCTTTTATGGCAGTAGCCAGATTAAGTTTTAGTTGGCCTTCAGCACTTTTAATTCTCTTGCTGCATAACTTCATGGCATCCTTATAGTCCTCCTGATCAGTCTGCACCTCCTTCCAAAAGTCATAAACTCCTTTTTGTCCTGAGTTCCAGCCAAAGCTCTCTGTTCAGCCAGGCCAGTCTTCATCCCTGCCAGCCCATCTCTCAGCACATGGGGATGGGCTGCTCCTGTGCCTTGAAGATTTCCTTCTTGCAGAATGTCCAGCCTTCCTGGACTCCTTTGCCCTTCAGGCCTCCTGCCGGGGGGCTCTATCAACCAGGCTCCTTCTCTAGTTGGCTCACTCACCAGTTGTGCCACACACTCCAGCAACCTTCTAGACCATTTTTCCTCTTCTGTATTGTATTTCCATCAGATACCTGGTAAACCAAATTCCTCTGTAAGTGATGGGGATTTACTGGAGTGCAGATGTACACTTTAGCTGCTTAAACCTTAAGCACCTATCTTAGCCAAGGAGGTTCTCCCTATCAGAATGGGTTAACAGAAAAAATATATGTATGTAAATCTGGCAAATAATGTAGCTGCTGACTGAATCTGGTAGAGTACAAAACAAAGAAAGGAATAAAGAATTGTTTCTGTTATTTGGATTTTGTGGTTGACTGCTGCAGCATGTATTTGGCAGCTTTAAAAGAAAGTAAAACATCAACAAGTGAGAAACTACTGGAAAGAAAGTTAAGAGGAACTTCTGACAGATAATATGATGCTTCCTGTAAAGCAACGGGAAGAAAGTGTGAACTAACAACAGGAATCAACTTAATGTGAAGGGAATGTACAGGGAAGGAGCTGCAAGGGAGAGATCCCGCAGCTCAGGGATGGAAATGCCATCTGAGGAAGGGCAGAGCTAATGTAGAGGAGGGATCACTTTAGAGACTTTGATTTATTTGCACAGATTTTGTGCTTGGTATGTTAAATAAGTAGTCTGCCTTGGCAGTACAACTGTACCCAGGACTCCCAGTGGGAAGGCACGACAAAGAGTGCAGAGCATTCTGCAACCCGAGAAGTGGATCTTGGTGTTTTCCAATCTCCCAGTGCAAGCCGAGGTAACAAGTACAGGCAAACTTTCTTCTCCTTTAGTCTGGTTAAGGTAAATAAATAAATTGGCAAAATCCAAATACAGAGTAAGTACCTTCCAGGTTTCCAGAACCAAATGAAATGAGAGCTATTCACCACGTGAATACCATGTTTACTTACTGTATGTGTTCAGGTCTTGGTTGTTGCTTCAGGATCTGTTTGCCACACATCTCCAGGCTTCATTCACTGGAAATTATCTTGGCTTACGAATGTCACTTGTTTTTATAGTCAGATCAGTTCAGAGTCCAGATCTGAATAAGGAACCTACACTTTCCTCTACTGCGCTCTCTGGCTTTTGGCAGGTAACATCTCTCGGGCCTGACTGTACCTGATTATCACATGCTCAAAGGATAAACAGAATATGCTAACTGCTGCTCAGCAGGGCTATGGACGTGTGTCCCAGAGAGTAGGTGCTCAGATGCTGCCCTGGTTTAATGAGGTCATTCAGCTGTTCTACTCTTCTACCTTCACTTAAGCTTACACAACCGTTTTAGGTCTCTTGAAAAATACTATTTTCTGTCTTATTTAAAACCTGGACGAGTTCCCTGGTCTGCTTCACAGCACTTTGTTGATACAGCTATAAGAGCAAAGCCAGACTGTGAGTGAGAATAGACCGATAAATGAAAAAGGAAAAGAAGAAGCGAATTGCTTAAGCACACGTTGCAATGAATAGGTTGAGCCCTGGAACTACAGATGAAACCTCGCATGAACTGTTCACCCACCCTGTGGCAACCAGTCACTCTCTTCCATGGAGCAGAGCAAACTGTCAAATGCTGCATGTGTTGGGCTTGTATTTCTCAAAAATATGCAACTTGCTAATCATACTTTACTGAACTAGATAGCTGAGATTAACACAATAGTAGCCACTTAGGCATAAGAAATGGCTTAGGAGAAAACCAAACCCTCCTGGGAGGACTTTCTTCTTTCCCTTAGAAACATGATAAATACATATTTCTGCATCTTAATATTATAATGATGTGTATTACCTTCAGATGTACTCTGGGACTCACACCAGTGTATGTTCTGTCCTTTCCTATGACAAGAAACAACTCCAGTCTCCAAATGCTCACAGATAAAATACTTCCACTAATATCCTGAGTTTACAAAGATGAAGGCCTTTAGATCTGTAAATGCAAGTACTTGAGATATGGAAATATAAGCTGAGAATAGTAACAGAATGGGAGTGTATCAGAGCAAAACTTTTAGATACACTTGCCTTGGTCTTCCTCTTCCTTGTATTTACAGCCACTGTTGAAGACAGAACGTCAGACTACATGGGCTGCTGGCATACATCCTTAGCAACTCTTAGGTTCCCGTTCACTAGAGGTAACAACACCTTGGTGCCAATGGAGTAAGTGCCCAAACTCTGACATGGTCAACCTGCCCAGGGACATGAAGCAAAACTTGAGAGGCATCTGAGAGCTTAACTCACATCTCCCAAGGTACTACTTGGTACTGCATCAGTTAAACAATCCTTCCCATTTGCTGTCTGAAGACAGAGATGATTCCACTTCAGCTGGTTTTAGTGACAAACTACCCTGATGTCCAAGGGGCTATACAAAAGTAAGGGACACAGCTGCTCCAGAGCATTTTGCAGGGAGTATCCCTGAGATTAGGCTGCTGAACAGCTATTTTGACACAAAAGGATTTATCTGCAAAACAGGGAGATGGTTTCAGATCTTTGGGAATGGTATCCAATCTTAACTTTCCACATGTGTTTGAATGTAAAGTGAGACATCCTTGCCACATTACATGGTGTCTAAGAAAATAAAAAAGAATACATGGAAGCAAGTATAAACAGAGCCACCCCTGCCAAAGGATGTTTATGCTCACAGAAAGCATTGTCCCACAACTCGAGGAAAACATGATTAACAGCTCAGCACTGATCTTAATCAGATTTATTAAGACAAATGTTGAAAATCCAGCGTGTGTGTGGGTAACTAAAGGGAAAAGAAAAAAAGGCCAGATAAAAATGCCCAGAGGGAGTGAGCTAATGACTATCTTCCCATTACCTCATGGGATCATTAGGTCGACATGATCTCGCCGCGGCCAGCACTGAAGCCACCTCCCCGCTGGGACGGAGGCCAGAGGCCCTTTCCCTTCCCCTACACACAGGTGCAGCCCCGCGGCGGGAGGCGCGGGCCCGCGGCCATGTCGGGAGGCAGGGGGCATCTCCTGAGGGGGCCCCCCGACATGGCGGCGGGCGGCAAAGCGGGACAGCCACCCCGCGCCAGGACCGCTCAGCTCCCCGCCCTACCCCCCTTCCCCCGGGGGGCTGCCCGGCAAGGCGGCATTGTTGGCCGCGTCCATCACTCCCCGTCCCCGGCTGACATAATGAATGCGCTTGGACACACCTTCCAGCCCGGCGAAGAGGCGCGCCGAGTCTCCACGGACAGCCCCACCGAACTCTCCGCTCCGCTCCCCTCAGCCCTCGGGGAGGCGGCCCGCAAGCCCGCCCGGCCCCATAGCCCGGCGCCCCGTCCCAGCCCAGTGAGGGGCCGCGGCGGCTGGGCTGGGCTGGGCCGGGCAGGGCGACGGGGGGTAAGAGCCCTCGCTATGCTGCCCAGCGCCCTGTACTGGGACCTGGTGGGCTCCTCGGCTCTCCTCAACCTGCCGGCGGCGCCGGGCTTCGGCAACCTGGGCAAAAGTTTCCTCATCGAGAACTTGCTGCGGGCCGGGGCGCCTCCGAGCCCTGCCCAGCTCCGTCCCCTCCCCGCCAGCCCCGTCCCCCTCAAGCTGTGCCCCGCGGCGGAACAAATCAGCCCCTCAGGGGGTCCCTACCCGACAAGATGGGCTTTTCAAGTGCTTAACCCCTCCGTGGCGGACGGCGGCCGTCTGCCAGCGAGGGCTCCGGCGGCGGAGAGAGGCGGCGTCTTCCCGCCGGCAGCCACAGGTGAGCGCAGGCCCCTTCCCGCGTCCCACCGCCGGGGAGACGGGACAGAAGGGGCTTAGCGAGGGAGCGGCGAAGGCCGTGCCTCGCCGGGTGCCGTTGCTGCCGGGGCGCAGTGGCTACGGTGGAGCTTGCCCCGCCGGTGCCGACGGGCCCAGACGAGCCGGTCATGAGGGCGCACCTGTGGGTGCAGTGACTGCGGCCAAGGCTTGTGCTGGTAGTGAGAACGGAGTGCATTTAAGTGCCCCGAACCGCACCTCTTCCAGGTCTACATCTTCATAGCCTGGAGGGACGGTAGCTTTATCGCTGACGGGCGCCTCGGGAACGTCTGAAGTGCCTAGTTTTGTGAGAAAGAGCGGCCCCGTCCCTCTCGGTAGCGGTAACTCGGGTGTCCCATCCCTGGCGGGGGACAGCCATGGGTGAGGCACCGGCTTTTTCCCTCCAAAAGAGAATTAATTCAAGCTTTAAAGCTGTATAAAAGGTCTGTAATTGTCTGTAATTAGCCATTCGGTCAGGTGCTGGAGTAAAAGCCGGGGCTTTTCGGGCTGGTGGGGCGTCCCTTCTGGGGACCAGTTTGACCAGTTCTCCGGCCACCCGGGCTGCCCACGGTGTTGCTGTCGCGGAGGATCTACTTTCTATCATTGAACTGAAAACAAATAGTTTAACAAAGCACGTTTCGGTTATTGAATGTGCCGGGCTTCATACATTTTTATCTGTCCATGAACAACGTTTTAAAGCATTTTTAGGAATGTGCACTTCTGTCAGTCATGGAACTGATGGAAGTTAAATTCGAAGTTAATTCACAAAATTGGGTATTAGCCTCACTATCTATATTTTTCCCTTCCGCTGTAATAGTTTATGTCAGTTTTGTGTGGTGTTTTCAGCGTTTTTATTTATGATCATTGTTTTAAATGTACTTACAATGAAAATAAGTCAAGCAGAATCGTATTTACTGAAGTAGGGCTCTAAGGTGTGAAACCAAAAGGCCAGAATTAATAACAGAATTAAAAGAGCCAGAATTAATACGCTTGTTTTCTTTTCAAGCATAGTTTTACTCCAGTTAAATCCTACAAACTGTTCTGCAAAATCCAAACCGATTTTTGATCCATTAGTGTGCTATATTTTACAGGTAGGCAGGAGAGTCAGGCAAGTGTACATTAACATCTCTGAATATTCCAGACCTCAGCTGCTGTGTTATCTGGAGCACATCAGTTATTTAAACGTGTTTATTTTAACCAGCTATAGACCAGGGCAGGAAACAGAACAAGTGCCATCTTCCTGGAACTAGGTGCGTATTCTCACCCCCGCTCCCCCAAAAAACCCCACTCTTGAGAAAATGCTACAATTTCTGTGTACAGAGCCCATGTTAAAGGGGAGACAGCAGATCCCCCAGCACTCACTGCTATAGGTAAACTTTTTGTAAGTATACAGAAGTTCCTGAATACCAAGCTTTTCAAATCCTCGCTTTCAGGGTTAGCTTTCTTTGGTTGGCCTAGAGCAGTACTTGTGAAGTCAGCAAAGTGTGGTAGGTCTGCCTAGTGATTTGGAGTCCGATCCTGTGTTTCTTCTGATCCCACATATCCCAGGGATTTCAGAGGAAGCGTTGAGCAAAAGCACCAGGCTGTTCTGTTTGAGCAGTGAGAAATACTAGGTTTCCTTATGCATTATGCACTCAGAAAAAAAAACCCTTCTTCTGTGACTGCAGATGTACAACAAAAACATATATATTCTAACAGGGATCTGTTGATTCTGATCTGATTTATGTGTCTTGAAGTGATGAGGGCTCTTAGGTGTCTGAACTTTTGTGAATGTAAATTACATTGGAACCATCCTGCTGAGCCAGATCTTGTGGTTTCTAAGGAGTCTCTTCTCTGTAGTGTAAGCGTACGCTGGGGGAACTTTTCAGACTGGACACTTGCTTTGTGAGTAGGGCTGGGGTGGTCAGGCTGTGTGTTACGTTTCTTGTTTATGGATAGGGCAAAACAGTTTAGCCAGAATAAGAATTTTAGCCTTCATGGACTGATGAAGGTATTTTAACTAAAGAATTTGTACTAGGTAGAGGGCATTAATTCACTGATTTTTGTCTTTGTTTTTTGAGGAATAAACTCTTTCCTATTTAGACTCCCCAAATTATGTGGCATTTTAGAAAATCTTGGTCTAAGTCTTTAAGAAGACTACGGAACATGATAAAGCAAATTTTTTGTAATCTTTCTGAATAAGCAAGTGCTTTATAGATCATGCAGGGACTAAAAGTACAAACTAGCTTGGCATAATGCAGCAGTTAAAAATACACACACACACATATATATAGCAACACACATATATATAGCAAGAGAGAGAGAAAAGACAATTGAAAAAATACCAGACTTTTTGGAATCAGTAAATCTGTATTGCTCATGTAGTCCCTAATTCTGGTGAGGTCACCAGAAGTGCTCAGGAAGAAAGGAATGTAAAATCACACCAAGGACTGAACTGAATAAGCTGACCTTTTTTACAGTTCCAAAATCAACATGTATCCACAGCACCTACCAAGGAAAGACATGAAGAAAGCACTCCATTTTAGGGTAACTTCTAACACTTCATGAAAGTGCTAAAGAATGAAAATCCTGTGTTCTTTCTGTAAACTGGAAGACCTTTATCCATGGCAACACAGGAGACCCTTGGGATGGCACTCTATCTGGTCCATCTGGTCATGGTAGCTTTTCCATTTGTAACTTCTCGGCAGCAGTTTTAGCAGCAAGTTTCTATTCCTGTAATTTACAAGATTTAAAGGATTTAATTTGACTATTTCAGGTGTTTTATCTGCCCATGTATTTTGAATTCTCCTCCAAAGCAATCCTAAATGAAAAGCTTAACAAGTACTCAGTGTTACATCCTAGATACATCATCTAGTGAGTGGGCTTGAAATAAATATTTTTATGTTGTCTGTAAAATATTAAAATAATCATTTTTGATCATTACACTGATTTTTTAAAAATGAAGTGTAATGAAATCATAGAATCATAGAATGGTTTAGGTTGGAAATGACCTTAAGATCATCTAGTTCTGACCCCCCAGCCATGGACAGGTTCATAGGTTTTTCAAATGAATTTTGATTTAAGAGTACAACCACATGATCAAGTAACATGTTACATAAAACCCTAAGAAGGAGAAGCAAAAGGAGCATTATTGCTATAGGATAAACTCACTTGCCTTTTGTGATGCTGTGCCAGTTTATACCAGCTTGTGATTCCCATAGGCTTTCTTCCACCTTGCTCTGAAGCCCTAGAACTGATGATAGATTACTGAATTGGGCCCACCACCTTTAGCAGGTGTGGTAAGAGCTGGGTTTCTGCCTAGCTGAGCTGAATTTCTGCTACCCCATGCACTATGAGCCTCAGTCTTTGAGTACCTTTTGTCTTGGTAAAATAACTACATAATGTTGTCTTCTACTCTGTGAGAAATTTGCGTACAGTGTGTATTCATAGTCCTGACTAGGCAGAGCGGTGCACAATTAGTTCTGCTTTTGAAACACTGGATGCCCAGCCTGTTCATGGATAAAAACTTTCAAAGATGCATTGCTGTAAAGCAGCATTTCCCAGTGAAACATCTTACAGCTATGCAGCTTAAACTTGCACTGCCTCTTAAAGGATGAGAGAACCTCGAGGTATAAGTTCTGAGCAAACTGAAGAATTCTTAAGCATGGAGGAAGTCCTCAATTTCTGCTTGCTAATTTGGGATTTGCTTCCTCTCCTTTGTACTCCAGTACTGTTGTTATCTTCTGGATAAATTAGAAGACTTGACAGTTTTTCTCAGTGTTTTCTGACATAGGAAATTTATCTGGAGGATGCTGAGATGCAGCCTGTTGTAGCACAGGTGCTTTAAAGAGGTCCACTCCACATCTTTCCTCACAACTTGGTTTCCAGATGTATTGGCTGACCCCAGGTCAGAGTGACCTTGAGAAATGCAGTCACTCTGCTACCTGAAATAATTTTCTGAAAATCTCTGCTTTTTTCAGGTAATTTGCCCTGGGGGAGTATGACAGTGAGTGCTTTACAGCCTCAGTATGGTCATATGTGGTGTGACCATAAATAAATGTAAGAAAGAAATTCTTTACTGTGAGGGTGGTGAGGCACTGGAACAGGTTGCCTAAAGAAGTGGTAAATGCTCCATCCCTGGCAGTGCTCCAGACTAGGTTGGAGAGAGCCGTGGGTGACATGAGGCATCTCTGTCCATGGCAGGGGTGTTTTAGCTAGATAATCTTAAGGTGTGTTCCAACCCCTAGCCATTCTGTGATTCTGTGATACTATATGGCAAGAAGCTGACTTTTTGCTTTAATCTTGGCATTTTGCTAGATTAACAGAGAAAGGAAGCTGAAAAGTGCAATGAAATAAATAAACATAACAATAAGATACTTCCATTGCAAAAGTTGATGAAAAATTGAGTTTATGGGATTTTTGCCTAAAGCATCAGAATGAAATAGAGCACAATAAAGTACAATACAGATAACACTAAAGAAAGTCATTAGAACAAGTATATCGTAAACATGACTTGAATTTACAAACATCCATCCTATGATATAGATGTATCTTTTCTTTCTGTAACATTTGAGTACTTTCCATTTTAATGCATTTATCATTGCAATGTGCTAGTGAAATAGGAGAGATTTCTACTGTGTAGAGGAGGAGCTGGAGCAAAAAGAAATGAGGTGACTTGCCTAAGGTAATCCAGAAAGCTGGTAGCGCTGCAGGGAAATAAAAGCAAGCCTTCTTCTGCAGGCTAACTCTTTGAACCAGTGTCAGCTTTTTTCCCCCTCGGGTGAGGACAGCAATTCTATCCTGTAACAGTCTTCCTTGAATCAATACACCTTATTGCTCATTTTTAGTAAAATCTCCTGTGTTTCTTCATAACAGCTGGGAGATACTTGAATTACTGAAATTAAGTGATTTTTTTTTCCTTCCTTTTTGACCCACTCTTAGTGAATAAGTTCTTAGTAATTATTGATTTCAAATCAGCTGGTAGCCAGACTGTGTCCTTGAGCGACGT